ATAAAGTCCTTTATATCTGGTTTATTATAAAAGAGACAATCAAGAAATAAGAAATTCAAAGTAGATGATCATAGATTATTTGTAGGCACTTTATTGCGCATTTGTTTCCCCATTTCGTTCATCCCGTATCTTCAATGGTTCTCAAAATCCCCATGTACCTACTTCGAGTTATTCTAAACACCCTGCCTGGGGGGCTGCCGGGCTGCAGCCCCCCCCCAAGACAAGTTTGGACTTTTTTTTTTACCGTATTTTTTGTGACATGTACATTTTTTGTAAAAGAAAATAAAAATAAAATATATTTCTATCTATAAAAAGGTTTTTCTATGGCGAGCGCCTAATGCAGTAAAGGAATCAATCAATTCATCTTAATCATCTTAAATGTCCGAAATACTTCCTTCCTCAGGAGAGAAGGGGCTCCGTGAACAAAATGTCTCCTCTTACCAAAATAAAGCGAATAAGTGGCCCGATGCGAACATTTTTGTCGCCCCGCAAAAAAAAATAGGTGCGTAACATTTGAGTATGTTACCTACAGGTGAATTCTGACAAAAATAGGCAACTTCCAAATTTTTAAATTCATCTGTGAGTCATTCTGATAACATCAGTATGATTTTTTTTTCCAAAAAAACGCTTATTTTTGAAAATAAAATTATTTGAATATCGGATTTTTAAACTGCTGTGAAAATGCGGGATAGGAGGAGGGACGGCTTTCTCCCAAATATGCGGGGATGCTGAATTTCTCATTAGTAAACCATTCCGAAACATGGCTGACATAAAACTAGTCACAACCTATAACCTATTTTTGTTCTTTACTAGTGCGCAGCGGTTTTTTTTTTTTTCGTCAACACCTTTTGAGCCCCCCCCCCCCAAACCAAAATCCTGGATACGCCAATGCACCCTGTATAGTCACGGTATGGACTATTATCGTCTCTTAATAGAATGACGGCCTCTAGAAAAATTGCTCAACTCGATAGCCGATAGTAATCAAAGCTCTGACCTTGACTTACCCTTGATCCCTATCAAAGAAGTATAGTCTATCGTTTCTCAAATGAGACAAGGCAAAAATTGTGGTCTCCACAAATTATCGTATTGCACGTTAAAATTATTATACTCAGTGGCGTAGCCAAACCAAACGTGGCCGGCGGCGACATCCGAATTGCGAGGCCCTTTTTATGTAGGGTGGCAGTGGCGGATCCACGAGGAGGGGGGGAGTGATGGGGGTAATCTACTCCCTCAGAAAAGCCCAAGAAAATTTTAATTATTAAAAAAACACACAAATAATTTTTTTGGAGGCTTAAAATACGTTTTGAAGGGGAGAATTTTTTGAGAGTCATGCCACTTTTTCGGGCCTATCAACGGTATTCGATAACAATATTAAGTAAAAATATCAATATTTTTCCGCTAACAAATCCTTCAAACAAAAAATAAATTTCTCATTCGTTACAGTATTACCACAGCATCACACAAACATAAACCGACAATTTTTGGTAGAAATCAGGCATTTTTTTAGGAAACCTATAGTTATTTACATTCCAAGCTGCGAAAGCGTACTTTTAGGTGCAAGGAGTATTCAAATAGCCGAAGCGAAGCCGAGATTATTTGAATACCTCCGAGCACCTGAAAGGGCTTTTGCAGCGTGTAATGTATTAAACTTTTCATTCTTCCCCTTCAAAAATCGTGAATTTCCGAATCTCTGCATGTTAGCAAATTCATTGTACAAAATCAAATGCTGGACGGACTTTCAAAATGCTGTAGAATGTACAATACAGCGAAATACTGTACGAATTCTATGATATTAAAAGAAGTTTCGTATAGGATTAAGTTTATTCTACGTTTCATTTTGGGAACTTGAAAAGTGCCAATTTTCAAGTTCGGTAACCTATATTTTGCGAGGCCCCTTATGGCGCGAGGCCGTCGGCGGTCGCCGACGCCTAGCTACGCCACTGATTATACTATTATTAGGCAAAATATATTGAGCGTGCCCGTATACAATGGATGCGAAGCCACGTGCAAATAAAGCATCTTATTGGTTGTTTTAGAATTTTTATCACAGTCCACGTTGGTTAGATTTTTTAGCGGTGCTCTGGCGGCTTATTTTTTTTGAAGCGGCTGCCGCACAGGAATCAGTTTCGCCTGAAAAGACAGTGCAGTAGATATTTATTATAAATTTGATTCCTATTCGAGTTGTATCATGCCCTATGTTTTATTTTATATAAAACTGTTTTAATAAATTTATTTTACTCCGCCCGTGCTTCATAAAGAAAACCGCTAAAGAAATTCTATTTTTTTTACTGTCTCATTTGACTATCGATAGACTATACCTATCTAGCGAATCAAGCACCGACGGTAATGTCCAAAATTTGGACTACTATTGGCTCTTTATTGCCTCTAGAAAAATCCTTTAGCTAACCAAGTGCCGATAATAATCGAAATTTTCACTATTATTGACTCTTGAGTGCCATTGGAAAACTTTCTAGCGAATCAAGAGCCGATACTAATCAAAACTTGGACTATTACCAGTTTTATTATTGATTATTACTATCAAGCAAACATGCGCCGATAATATCCAAAATAATTGACTATTATCGGCTCTCGACTCTCGAGTGCCTTTGGCAAAACTTTTTAGCGATTCAAGAGCCAATAATAATACGGTATCCGCTAAAATAAACAGTACCGAAATCTAGAGCTCTGAGTAATTGCGCACGCAAGTTTTATTTATCATATTTCGCTTACTTGGCATTAGTTATGAGGTTGACTTTAAGTTAAGTTTCAAATCTTCATCATTATGTATCTTGCAACTTAAGAAACAGTTTTCTTAGTAGAGCACTATTTGAGGTCATACGGATTTGGAAGGAAAAAAGGCTCAAGTTTGAAACAAGTCTCAGAAAAATTTCAGCCACCACTCTTACCTAATAAATATTTTCAATGATTTGCGGAATCGTTATGAACCTTTTTTGCATCGCTATGATGCATTTTTTGAACATATATAAGTAAGCATGATAAAAATTAATAAACGATATAATTTATATGTTCAGTACTGTTTATTTTGGCGGATACTGTATTCGAAACATGGACTATTACATGTTTCATCATCGATCCAGCAAATTAGGCGCCTGTAATATCAAAAATTTGGCTAATCAAGAGTCGATAATAATTAAATCTTGAAAAAAACGTCCATCAACCTTGTGGTATTGGGGTCCGTTTTATAGGTCGTCGTTGCTTCTAGATAATTGCTTCGGTGGTTCCAAATTTGCTGGACTATCGTGCGGTGAAATCTTATTCTAGAATTTTCCAGTCAATAGTTAATTCTGCCAAATTATGCACAATTTACCCAATTTGAGAAATTTATGACCATATGAATAAATAGGGGCTAGTAATGGGAAACCATAGAAATGAGGCTGACACAAAGAAAATTAATGCTGCAAGTATGGTAAACGCCAAAAAAAAATTCACCGAAACTTTGTATGCAAAATTCTAATACTGGTTGATTTAGCCTTGAAATTACCTATTTCCAAAACAGAATTTGCCCTAAATATTATATAGTCTAGGAAAATTGTCGATTTTCAAAAAAAAAAAATCCTATCCAAAAGAACTTTTCAGGGATGATAGGGGGAGGGTGGGTGATCATAAAACCGAAAATATCAAACATTCACCCCTCTGGCGTTTTGCGCTATAGGGGTTGAAAGTGCGCTATTGGCGATTACTTGGTACCTATTGATTTTACAAAAAAATGTTTCAAATAAAAGATGTGCAACATTATTTGATCTACAATGTTTATCTAAAGACTTTTTTGATTAAGGGCCGTCTGTGGTCATAAGGGCCGTTTGAAATTTTATAATGATAATGAAAAATTTTAACCAACGTGAAAAATTTGTCTACAACTCATACAACATTTTTGCTTTATGAAGCTTTTACTCACCCCCTGCCGTTTTTCAATAGGGGTAGTTTCAAGTTTTTTTATTTTTGTACAAAAAAATTTTCTCAATAAAAGTTTTATAAGATGACATTTCCTACAATTTTTCCTGATCAACTTTTTTTGTAACTCACCCCCATTCAGCGGGGGGACACTTCTCTCGGGGAAATTTTAGTTTTTAGGGGTATATATATATATTTTTTTTTTTCTTTTCTCGCCTTTAGTGCATATAAAAAGGTGCAATTAACATTGTACTAAAAGGATTTTTTTTCCACCACCTTTTTGTTTTTAGGGGTAGTTCGCCTATTTTCAACTTTACAAAAAAAAAATTATTGAGAAAACTTGTTCATTTTATTATTTTGAGCAACTTTTCTCTATAACTTTTTTTTGCAAAGTTGAAAATAGGCGCACTACCCCTAAAAAGAAAAAGGTGGTGGAAACAAAATCCTTTTAGTACAATGTTGATTGCACCTTTTTATATGCACTAAAGGCGGGAAAAGAAAAAAAAATTAATATATACCCCTAAAAACTAAAATTTCCCTAAGGGAAGTGTCCCCCCGCTGAATGGGGGTGAGTTACAAAAAAAGTTGATTGGGAAAAATTGTAGGAAATGTAATCTTATAAAACTTTTATAAGGAATTTTTTTTTGTGAAAAAATAAATAAACTTTAAACAACCCCTATTGAAAAACGGCAGGGGGTGAGTAAAAACTTCATAAAGCAAAAATGTTGTATGTGTTGTAGAAAAAATTTTCACGTTGGTTAAAATTTTTCATTTTCATTATAAAATTTCAAACGGCCCTTATGACTACAGACGGCCTTTAATCAAAAAAGTCTTTAGATAAACATTGTAGATCAAATAATGTTGCACATCTTTTATTTGAAACATTTTTTTGTAAAATCAATGGCGCACTTTCAACCCCTATAGCGCAAAACGCCAGAGGGGTGAATTTTTGATATTTTCGGTTTTATGATCACCCTATTTTCCTAGACTAATAGTTTTATCACGTGATGTTTATCAGCACATTAAGTTTTGCCAACGTTTATTATTTCTCAGAATAAATTGTGTATTTTTCTTCTTTGCAAATTCAGAATTGGTGGTGTTTACGTAGCTTTAGCCACCTACTTGCAAGAATTCCACGCAACAGAGCTAAGAGGAAAAATCCAAATGGCATCTGGAATGATTTACGCTGGCGCTAACGTTCTAGTACCATTATTATCATCGGCCATTCTACCATTGAAAATCAACGCCAGCCTATACATTTTAGGTAAAAAAATTCTTTCATGTGACTAAGAAGATAATAAGTATTTTTTTAGAGCTTCACGCCTGGAATATACTCACACTGATTGGTAGTCTAAGTGCCCTATTATCGTTCATAGGCATTTATTTTTTGCCTGAAACACCCAAGTTTTTGATGACTTCGGGCAAGAATGATGAAGCTTTGAGAGTTTTGAGAAAAATGTATAGGATTAATACTGGGAATATGGAAAAATCTTATCCAGTAAGTCTCAGGATTCAATTCACTCACTATCGATTTTGCTATAAATCGAAATTTTGATTAAAAGCTTCCAGCATTATTCATCAATCATGTTTCCTATAGATCGATTCATTAATCCAAGAAATCCCCGATGAATCGGAATTGGCAGCCAACAAAAAATCCTGTTGTGAATTTCTGAAATCAGGCTGGCAACAAATGAGGCCACTATTCGGAAAACAATACAGGCTCCAATTGATGCTCGTCTGTCTAGTCCAGAGCTTCTTCGGTATGGGGATTCACACGTTCAGATCGTACTTGCCGCAAGTGTTTCAGGCTACGCACGAGTACGAAATCGCGCACAACGGTACCACCCCTAATCTTTGCAGTATTTTGGATATTCTCAGGTCGAATGCAAGTTCACTGCTTAGCGAACACGAGGAGGTTATTTGCGTGGTTGTATGTGATAATTTGACTATTGAAACAATTTATTTGAAAATATTTTTAATTTTAGAATGTTGAAAATAGCTCAAGAGTTTACTTGAACTCTGTCATAATAGCTTCAGTGGCTCTACTGAATTTTGCCATAGTTGGATTCTTGATAAGTACTTTTAGAAGGAAAGTGTTGCTGAGTAAGTATATAGGATGTGGAATGGATTTGCTGGAAAAATCCAGTTCATGTTATAGGCATTTTGCAAAACGACTGAAAACACATACTTATATTGCTCTTGTTGCAGAGATTCATAATTTTATAGGGTTTTGCAAAATTTTTGATTGCTTCCGTGTGGCTTTTTCACAAATTTTTTACACGTATTGTCTTTTTTTAAGCTTTTGTTCTCTAATAAAATGTTTCGTTCTTTGTTAAAATGTTTGTTCCTTATTTTTTTCGGTATTTATTAGGTATATCTGCTTGTTTCTGTTGTTATTTTTTTCAGTACTTTGTTTATATTTTTTCTTTTTTTTTAGCTATTCTTGGTCTCACGGCAGCCATATCAGTAAATTGCTTATATTTTTCCCAAAATACTCCGACAACCTTAGCTGTAAGCTCAATCTACTTAAGTACCATAGGAGTGTGTTTCGAAATTTTCATCACTGTGGTTGTTGTGGTATTTCCAACAACTTTAAGGTATACAAACAATTATATTTTAGCCCTTTGAATAAGTTAAATTTTCAGAGCAATGGCTATAAGTTTGTGTCTATTCATCACCAGATTGTGTACCGTGGCCGGTACCAATATATTGCCGGTACTTGTTGAAACTGGTTGCGTACCGCCGTTTATTTGTTTGGGACTCGTATGTTTAGGTAAGTTCAAAGTAAATTTAATTGAAACCTAATGATGGCTTTCCATTTTTAGTGGCAGTACTGCTTTCTTGGTTTGTTCCTGATACTGAAACCGAAGACATGAAGTAACGATTTTTTTTTTGATGTTTCTTTGTTGATGACAAATAAATTGAACAAAATGTTTTTACAAATTTATATAATAGGTTTTGTGTTATTTTGAAAAAAGAATTAGATGACAATACGCTGGCATTCAATAGTGAATACCTACATACAATGTATGACCATTGACTTTTCGAACTTTCGACTGTATTGACCATAGAAAATTCACCAAATAAGATAACACAGATTATATCAATAAACCTGCCGAATCATTAGAAACTCTAAATTATGTAATTCATTACAAATTAATATCAAAACAAACACAGAATTTAGAGAAAATTAATAAGCAACGTGAAAAAGAATCTGGACTAAAGGATCCTATTTTCATTAAGCAATTTGACAGAAATAAAATTAGTCCTCCCTCGATATGGTACTAAAACACAAGTCAGATTTGTAGACAAATGGTGAAGCGACAACATTTTGTTTCAGAAAAACCAAAATATTCCGGGCTACCTTCATCATCCTCCTCATAGGAATTTCCAGTAACGCCTACACGTTAACTCCATTAAGAAATCCTATTTTACCGATTTCTATAGGAACCACTTACATCACAACACTTCATGTTATCACATTAATATTACCCTTATTAGAAAAAGTATTAAAACTCTCGAAATAACTTTAAAGAATTTAAACAATACCTTAAATCAAACCAAATGGTCTAATAAAGACGAAATTGTTACTTTATTACAAGTCAATATTGGAACTAGTCAATCACCTATTAATACATTAAAGAAATTTGTAAAACAATTCTCACACAAACGAAATAAACGCGGAGTATTCAATTTCATGGGTACAGCACAAAAATGGCTGTATGGTACATTAGACGCAAATGACGGTGATAGATATGATTCTTATATTCCAACGTTAAATGAGAATCCGAAAATTATTGATAAAAATCTAAAAGATCAAACAAACGTAATTAAACAAGTAAAATATTTCATGATCAATTTTCAAATATCGAAAATAATCAGATATTAATTTCACTTAACAAATACACTAAATCATTCTGAGCGTCAGAAAAATTGAATAAGGAACTATTTATAACTTATAAGTCTAAACGAGTTGAAATCTTCAGGGATTGTAGTCCTCCACTAGGATAAGCATCGCTGAAAATATCTGCTTTCTATCCTATAATAGACTTTGAGACTTTCTAATCAGAGCAATAAGCAAGTGTAAAAATATCTGAGCTTAGTCCCTAGCAGTCATGAACAATATAGCAAGAAAAAAGTTTGCAACAAAGAGTTCCATTCATAGCAACTACCAACATAATGTTAAATCAATATTTTTTATTCCATAATAAAATCTTCTTGCTAATTAAATATCTAACTTTTCAAATCTCGGCCGATCTGAGAATATGACAGTTCTAAATCATAATAATTTGCTTATAAAATTTTCAATAAACCTAATTAAATTATATAAACAATCTGGAAATTGGTAGGTTTAAAATTATTGGGGAATTACAAAGACACCTGGACAGGGAAAACAAAATTTCCAAAATCAAACAAAAATTACCACAAGCAAAGTCCCTCTATTATTGTTAAAATACAATAGGATTAGGCGTCTAGGCAAATAATTGGCATAAGACTTAATTTAAGCCGTCAAACAAAATTTAATGTAAATTATTTAAAAGATGATGCAATGAATGAAATGAGTTGATCACTTATAATAAATAATTCACTTCATGTCTGATTTTTCGGTACTCGGCAACAGACAGGACAGCGCTAGACCCACTGAAAATAAAAACACAAATTCAATAATCACCATTTTGTCAAATAATAATTACTTACCTAAAATCACGCAACCCAAACTCAAAAACGGTGGTACACAACCAACTTCTACTAATACTGGTAGTACGTTATTACCCACAATTGTAAAAACCCTCATCATAAATAAGCATACACTTATGGCCATAGCTCTAAAAAAATAAATTGAATTATTTGAATCAGAAATTTTGAAATTCACCTTAAGGTTGTTGGAAACACTACAGCCACTATTGTCGTAAAAATCTCAAATCCTATACCCATACTGCTCAAATATAGTGTGCTCATTGCTAAAGTCGTCGCAGTGTTTTGTGAGAAATACAAGCTATTTATTGAAATGCATGCAGTTATCCCCAAAATAGCTAAAAAAATAGGCATTTTTATAAAAAAAAAAATAATTAAAAAAAAAAAAACATACTCAATAGAGTCATTCGTTTAAAGAATCCTATTAAAGTTCCAGCCAATACAAATGAAAGCATAGTAAAAACAGCTACGATAAAAGAGTTCAAGTAAACTCTGGAGCTATTTTCTACATTCTGAAAAATTATCAATTTTAATTTTTAAGATTTTGAAGTTGTATCAGGGCACTTACAATAATACACACAGTATCGTCTCCGTGAAAACTAGAATTCGATCTAAGCACATCCAAAATACTGCAAAGATTGGGGGTGGTACCGTTGTGTGCAATTTGGTACTCGTGAGTAGCTTGAAATATTTGCGGCAAGTACGCCCTAAGAATATGAATCCTGAAAATTTTATTTGAGTTAGGTGTTTATTATTAGGTATTTAGGGACTTACCCTGAGCCGAAAATGGCCTGAACTACGGAGACGAGTAGTAGTTTTCCTATGTATTGTTTTCCGAACAAAGGGCTGAGCTGTTGCCAGCCTGACTTTAAGTATTCTTTCCAGGATTTGTTGTCTTCTGATTTCAATTTTTCGGGTACTTCTTCTAATAATGATTCGATCTGGAAATGATGAGAACATGATTGAATTTCGATTTTATATTGTACTCTAATGTGATGCCCGGAACCTCGTTTAAGTCCAGGAATTACAGTTTTTTTTTCCGGATGTGACGAACTATTGCCCGTACTCTAACTAAACAAATACCCAGTTTTGATAGAAATTTTCGTAATTATTTAGGTACCTAGGTACTTCTCAAAACATATTTCAACTTACCGGATAAGATTCTCCACTATTACCAGTATTGATCCTGTAAATTTTTCTCAAAACTTTCAATGCCTCGTCGTTTCTGCCCATCGACATTAAAAACTTGGGAGATTCGGGAAGGAAATAATAAGCTATTGTAGCTAACATTGGACTAACACTGCCCATAAGCATCAAAATGTTCCAAGCGTGAAGCTCTAAAAAAATTTGAAATTTGAAAAAACTGCACACAAACCGCATTCGAAAAACTCACCACAAAAATATAAATCAAATTTGATATTCAAAGGTAAAATAGCTGAAGATATAAGAGGTATTATAACGTTAGAGCCCGCGTAGATCATCCCGGCAATCATTTGAATTTTGCCTCTATGCTCTGTTGAATGTAGCTCTAATAAATATGTGGCTTGAGCTACGTAGGTACCACCAGTCCTAATAATTGATATAATTTTGTTAGCAAATATCAGATTATGATATCCAATACTTACACAGCACCACCAAAAAACTTAAAAACAGACAAAATCGAAAAACTCGTGGAAAATCCTTGACCCCACACGATTAACGTTTGAGCCAAACAACCCAACCACAAGATTTTCCTTCTGCCCAAAGTATCTAGTAAAAATCCCCACAAAAATCCTGTTGATAGCATACCTGAAAGAATCACTTCATAGTAATTTTGCACGAGAAATATTGTTAAATTTTTTTACCAAAAAATGACATGGAATTCAAAAGTCCTTTTTGAGTTACATCAAGATTGAGGTCACATGAAGCAGTTGGAATAATGAAAGCAATTAGAGTAGAATCTATTTGTATTGTAGTAGCAGCCGGAATGAATATCAGCAATAGGAGAAGGTTGAATTTGCCATAGGAAGTTGCAGAAATTGCTGTCTGAAAATCTGCACGAGACTTGAACTCTGTTTGAACTAACAATAAAAAATTAATTAATGTACATTGTATAATTTCTACTCTTACCCTTTTCGTTCTTTTCACGAAAAGAAACGTTTGTTCCAGTCATGGCAGCTATCGCAACAATTCACCAACTTAAGACCAACTGGAATTCAACTGGATACATTTTGGTTTAAATACTTTAAAAAAATTTAAGTTAATCTCATTATTTATTTTTGTAGCATTCTCAAACATCATGTGCTCATAGTTTAATGCTAAAGTTAATATGTACTCAGCTTAGGTAACCTATTGAAATTGAATTAACGCTCTGTTGGAGGTCCAAAAGTCGCACCGGAGAAAGTTTTAAATTACGTCTGATGAAATTTTATATACATCTACAATAATATGGTGTTTTGTTTGGTAACCATTTGGAGTAAAATCATTTTTCTGGATCCAGTTTTCCCTTCTTATTATTATTAGATACGATAATGGTTGGTATAAAGTTGTGAAGATTTAAGTGGAGATTCGTGTCGAATGACTCCCTCCATACATTACTTAGATCACAACATGGGGTCACTCTTCTTCAAAAAAAAACTACTGCTCTACTAGCTTTGAGTAATGAAAACGAGATTCTCCCAATTACCTAATAATGAAGCTTTTTGTCAGCAAATTCTGGATACCACCTGGAAGCGAATTCACAACAAAAACAGCATTCATCAATTGAAGAATAACTCTTTACATTGTCCTAAAATTGGTGAAAAATCTAAAACTGTTTATACCTAGAACCCTGTTGACTTATCATATAGTTTATTGCGACAACAACAACCAGACTGATGTGATGAAATCTTTACATCTTTACTACTTTCATGGAATTCTTAATTCACTATCATGCACAACCTTTGCTATCTTATTAGAAAGATTGAAATGGTTATGGAATTGCCATTAATTATTTATTGTTGACCATACTAGTTCATATTAGATTCTTTGAAGCTCTTTAGTTCAAAAGTGACCTTTGGAAGCCGCTCTGGCTAAACTTTTACTCTAGAATGGTCGAAAATAAAAGTTTTATAAATCTCTAGTCCAATTTTGGTTCTAGTTAAGCCAAAAATTGAGCATTTCTAGTTCAAATTTCAAATTTTCAAGCCTTTTTTAGTTGACTGTCACGTCTTAGGAGTTCAAAAGTTACTTTTGAAAGTCGCTTTGAATGAACTTAAATGATCAGAAATTAAAGTTTTATAAATTTCTAGTCCAGTTTTGGTTCTAGTAATTCAACTTTCATGCATTTGCATTTCAAGCCTCTTCAGTTGAATTTCATGTCAACGAAGTTCAAAAGGGATCTTTGGTGATTATGGATAATTGCCTTAAAATAATTATTGTTTAATCTACTTCATTATTCAATAATTTAATGTCTGTCATTTGAAGAATGGCTTAACAAATTTGTGTTACATTTCCAATATTTGATTTATTTCTATTTTGATGAAAGGAAAATCCCTTCTACCAATGATTGTCTGATATCCATATTCAGGCAACCGCCTTGTTGATCGCAGAAGTCTGAAATATGCTTCGAGATTATGTAGTTTTGAAAGGAAGATGCTGTGGTATGAAATAATCGTCTATTACTTTATTATTCAATAATTTAATGTCCGCCATTTGAAAAATGGCTTAAACAATTATTTGTGTTGTATTCGGAATATTTGATTTATTTCTATTTTGGTGAAAGTTTAGCAAATATTTGAGGAACATTTAACTGAGATTCCTTAAGCCAATTCAAATGTCTTGATGATGAAATTTTTAATGATCTGTTAGCAATATCCTCATGAATATTGCCCAGTTCGTATATTATAGATTTAGGAAAAAAAAATTGCATCTTGCATTAGGTAAGTTCCACAGACCTTGATTCCGCAACTATTAACTTGTAATCTTTCAAATTCACTTCACCCGTCAAAATTGATCCCAAACTTTTTGCCATTTCCTTTTAACTTGAATCTACAGACAGCACACTAAGTCTTTCTTAAGTTGGATTCGAACGTTTGGTGAACGTACCGTTTAGGACAGGAATGTTTCTGACCTAAGGGGAACTTAAATAGGACGTTCCTGGGACAAAGTATGCTTACTGGATTAGATTTAAATTTTCATCTATTCCAGGCTCTTGAATTTCTGATTTTATCCAAATTTCTTTTGAGAGACGAATCAAGGATCAGTCATAAAAGCCTGGAATAACATTTCTTTCTATATAGGAATCAAGGAAGATTCAAAAGCCTGGAATAAGAAAAAAAAAAAGATCAAATTTCCTTAAAACTCTTGTCTCTATTTCTCTTTTCTTTAGTTTCAATTTTTCACTATTCCAGGTTCTTGAATTTCTACTTTCATCAAAATTTCTTCTCATGAAAGAATCTATAGGAACAGTCAAAAGCCTGGACTGAAAGTTCTTTTCATAAAAAGAACAAGTAACAGTCAAGATCCTGGAATAGAAAAGAAAATTGATCAAATATCTCATTGAAATTCTGATCTCTATTTCTCTTCTCTTCCGAACAAACACAACTTACTGAAGGTAGATATACTTTAGCTAAACATTAAACCTGAAAGATCCATCAAAACTCCATTTAAAAAAAAATAAAACTTTATTCTCAATAATATAAATGTTTAGGTAATTGTTTTTGTTCCTGCCTTCTTATTGATATAGGTACCTAATTTCTTCAAAATTTATTTAAGTGCACTAAAGTCGGTCGCTGGCAACAAAAACCCTAACAAGGCACAACCTGAAAAAAACGGAGAAATAATATTTAAAAAAAATATTTTTCAGAAAGCCATTGACAATGTGAGTCTTTATCTTCAATGAAAAAATGAATTTATTCATTTCTATCGAGCGGACTTTCATCAACATTTCATCAAATCATCACCACATTCTTTTCATAAGCAACTCCTCCGCTCCTGTTCAACAAGAGGAGTTTTTATTTGAAGAAAATCTGGTGATCTGACGAAATATTAATTAATAGCAACACGATACATACTCAAACTCAAAAATCCATTGAAAAAGAAAGGCGGCGCGCAGCCTCCATGCAACAAAACTGGATACAGAGTGTTGCCTAAAGCAGCACCAGTTCTACCACTCATCATTGCCAGAGCTACGGTAATTGTCCTAAAACAAATAAATTTAAAATAATAAAATGTAAGATTCACTTGGAAAAAATTCACCTTAAAGTTGTAGGAAACATGTCCACAATGAAAGCAAGCATGCAATTAATCATAACGCTGCCTGCAGCAACAAAAATCGAAGCTAACGTTAAAGTCATTAGGTTGTTTATTGAAAAGAAGAGTGACATCGCTGCTGATCCGGCCAGAATAGCTAAGAATACTGGAAAAAAAAAGCTACACTAAGAAAATCTATTGGATAGGAGATATTATAAATAAATCCTTGAAGCAACATTTCGATTACCTACCATATAATCGCCTTCTGCCTACTTTATTAATCAGCCCACCAGAAATCACATAAGCAATTAAAGTAACAATGCAAACTATAGCTGAGTTTGTGTACACTGACAAGTTAGTGTTCTGAAAATGGAATAAATCAGCTCAGCTATAAGCCCTTAGAAATTCACTTACCACTACACACTTTTCAGTAACATTCCTTACAGTTGTATTGGCGTGGAAAACATCTAGAGCGTCGCATAGAGGTGCCGTTGTATTGTGATTGAGCTCGTAATCGCTCATCGCTTGGAAAAGTTGAGGTAGCCACAATCGTAAAGTGTTCAAGCTTAAATAATAATTATTTATTTGGATATTATAGATATTTCCTAGAATTTCATTATAAATATATTTACCTACTCATTGTGAAACATTGTATAATACAAACTAAAATCAGCTTCGTAAAATACGGACGATGAAATAGCGGCTTCATTTGCTCAAAGCCTTCAAGAAATGCTTTAGTTTTCGATCGATTCGCTGTTACTTTTCCGTATTTGTTGCCCGAATTGAGTTCAATTTCATCCACCAAAGCTTTAACTGGATAAGTATCTTCCGGGTTACCAGTATTCATTCTGTAAATTTTCCGGAAAATTTTAAGCGCCTCTTCATTTTTGCCTGTCGTCATTAGAAACTTTGGACTTTCCGGGAGAAATATGAAAGCTATGGCACTTGTTAGTGGAGCAAAGGCGCACAGAAATAAGTAGAGACTCCATGAATGAAACACTAAAAAATAATTATTTGGAATAGTTTTTTTATTATAATTATTATTGATACTCTTTTACCAAAATATTGAGATAATTCTATTCTGAAATCAAGAGGTAGTACCAAAATGGCAAGGACGGGTAAAAACAATGTTCCGGTACTGTAAATTATGCCCAAAAGAAATTGTGCCCGACTTCTTTGTGTGGCACAATGTAATTCTGATAAGTACGTTGTGAGAGCTGAAAATGGCCCATTGATTCTAAAGAAAAAAATATGTATCTTAAAAAAAATCAAATGTTAATTATTACCTACATTAATCCGCCAAAAAACTTGGATATCATTAGCATTGTGAAGCTTTGCGAAGAAGCCGACAGTAGTACAAAAAGACCATCCAACAAATATCCGGTTACCAAAAGCTTTTTCCGTCCTAAAGTGTCACAGAGGTAACCCCAAACAAATCCAGTTGAAATCATACCTAAAATAGAAAAATTTGGATATTTTTCGAAAATGCATCATTCTGTAGATTCATTATGAGTTGATGTTTTTATAGATGGTCACCGTAGCTTGTTTTATGCATATATCGGTCTAAACTGCAAATCAATGTAGTAGACAACCTGAAACATACGACAAGCATGCAACACTGATGTCTACTTTAATTTGTGGAGATTTCAACTACACAGAGATCAACTGGAAAACATTAACAGTCAATCCCACGAATTCATGTAGCTCAGATTTCATAACCGCCTGCAAAGGAATCAATGCCTTTCAACATGTTGCTATTAGTCAGTGACAGGAGGCTTGATGTACTGCATCTGCCAATTGGACTAAGTGACCATGTGGTCATAACAGCCAAATCCCAAAACCAGGTTACTCCAAAACCAACAAATTAAATATAAAAGAGCAGATTTTGGTCAACAGGCTATGAACTTATTAACAGCAAGAATTCTCCAGCAGCTCTTTTATTTCATTCAAACTGAAGATTATCAATCCCCCAACTTGGCTAACTCAGGTTTTTAATCTCATTGAAAAAAAAAAGAGAAATTTGTGGCACAAGGAATTGAAAAGCAACTCTGAAAATGGCAACTTGAATTACAGGAATTAAAATAACTTCCTCAAACCAAGATAAAACAGTCTAGAAGGAAATATGAATAAGAATTGCTAGCCTCTTCTGATAAGCAGTTTTATTCCTACCGAAACAGATCTCTTGGTTCGAGACTTAAACATTGATGTTGAAAAAGACGTTGCCAATTTGTTTGCCAAACAGTTTCAGAGAGTTTTTACAAGAAAAGATATAGGCCATATGCCCAATCTACTTAGGCAGCACAAACTACCAAGGGAATGGAAGAATACAATTGCTTATTTACAAAAAAGGCAACAAACACCTGCTTGAAAACTATAGGCCCATTAGCTTAACAAACACCCTTTGCAAATGCATGGAGAATGTTCTCGTATCTGAGCTGACTGGCTTTTTGCTCGGAAATGGAATCATCCCACCTTCCCAAAACGAGTTCCTTCCTGGAGGGTCCACGTTCACGAACACGCTTACCAAGGTTCACGACAGGATAAGGACAGATGACTCTGTCCAGTCTGTTGATGTATTTTACCTGGATTTTGAAAATGTATCATTTTGGTGGTTTCTTTATGAACTATACCAGTATGGTATAGGACAACTTCTACTCAACCCTATCCAAGATTTCCTACATATCAAACTCCATCATATACCTGATTTCCAATGCATTTAGAAATCTCACACCCCAAATGTTTGTAAAGCTGTAGGTACAAGACTTACATAACACCCAGGCTGGAATAACCCAAAGCATATAGAGTCCTTATTATATTATATCAAGGACATTGAAGCACTTGAGAAAATCCAAGGCTGCAGAGGCTGAACCTCCCTATACACTTTGTGAGAGAGGAACGCGTGGGGATCTAGTAGAGACATTCAAAATAATCAGTGGACCCTACAAGCTGTGCTACAAGTGCCAGTTAAGCATCTTTGAGTTCAGTAACAGCCAGGATCTAAGGGGTCATAACAATAATCTCTGAAAGGTGAGATGTGCCAGGCTTTTGCGTAGAAATTTTTTGTCCAATCGAGTAGTTTATTATAAATGGAATCGACTCAGTTGGGACACTATGTTTAACCTATTTAAAAACAGACAATGAAATGGCTGAATGGACAAGATCATTTGTGCACTATACCAATTAATATATTTATTTACGACTAATGTATAATGTGCGTATTATATTCGTGATTTTGGCAGTATAATGACATATGTTATTCCTCCAGGGATTAATGACGAGTAGCGGGATTAATGGTCATTATTCCACAAAAGTGTCAGTGTCAAACGTGTAGTGCTTGTGGATTTGTATTGAAAATTATGAGACGGATAAAATCTGTTCATTGAAAATCTCAAAGAAATTAATTTGTCGTAAATAAAGTAGACTATACTACTCGCAATAATGGCTATTATTCCCTCGGAATGTTACTCCCTCGCCGCTAACGCGGCTCAGTTCGTAATAATCCTCGGGAATAATACCTATCATCATTGACTCGTGGTATAATCTACTATTATAAATAGACATTTTATCAGTGCTAGGATAGTAACCCATAATAATAATAGTTGTTTAATATTCAGAAATAGACATAGGAATAACTACAATTTCAAGCATAACTAAGACTGGGGACTAGAGAGACACCAGTCATCTGTTCATCTTCCGATACCCTCTTCAACCATGATAAAAAGATTCTTAATACAATATGAATGCCGTAAAATGTTCAATAAACTAAGAGGACCTGATAATTTTGATATGGTTTTCGAAAAAACTTAAAAGACTGCCTTTTGGAATATTGCATTTACAATTTGGAAGAGTTCTGCGCAGCTAGCTGAATGTTGAGTGTTGGTGTATATTTATATACTCACTTATGTAATGGTGATGATGTTTTGTTTTTATATTAGGTATACCTACTTACATTATTACATTTTATATTTTCGATACTTTATCAGCTGCAATTAAATAATACGTTGGTGACTCACTTATTTAGTTTAAATTTGTATTACTCTACTTATATTTTGTTCAATTTTTCTATGATTTGTAGACATAAGATGTTTTGTCAATAAGATTTTCATCTTTTATGGAAAATTTTGTAAACATACATATCATACATCAGATCTTTTACCCTATTGTGGGCCAGCCAGAATCCAGACGTAATGTATTAAAATTATTTAGGAAAATGTAGAAAATAGTCTTGAAATGAAAAAAAAAATTCTTTGGATTATGTTTTAATTGAGATGATAAATATCCATTTAAGCATGTTTGTATCTTTTAGAAACATTTCATTAGGAATGTTGCTGGAGCAAAAACAAATATTTTGTACTATGGGTTTAGAAGAAAGAAGAAGAATCTGGAATATTTTACCAAACTAATTATCTTCTTATAAGCTCGAATTAATTTTTATTGTTTCTATTTTTACAGGAAAGTATTAATTATTAAAACTCAATCGATTGTTTACTCCGACTTTACCAGATTAATTTATTATTATAATAAATTAATAAATTACCTACCTGCATAAGTTATAGCATTCAACAAGCCCTTATGTTCCAAATTAAGATTCAAATCGCACTCAGCCGCAGGAAAAACATAAGACATTGAGGTGGTTTCTAACATCGACGACCATCCTGACGTAATCGCTATAGCGTATACCATCAAATGGAACTTACCCCATTTTGCTGTTGTTATAGCCTTTTCAAAGTCGGCTGGCTCATTATCTCCTGAAAATTAACATTGCATGTATTGCATCATCAATATGAGTTAAATTATACTAAAATGACTTTAATCCTACCTTGAACCAAAGCATAGTTTTCACTTCCTAAACTTTTATCATTCATTATTCACTTGAATATGCTTAACTAAAATAATAATTACAATAAATACATTATTTTAGTATTACTGACCCCACCGACAAGCTTTCTGTATAGATAAACAAAATCGAATGTTGCAATATTTCTGAAATCTACAATAATTACTAGTTATTGGAAAAAAATAAATGCACTGTTTACCCAAGTCATACTATACGGGTATTAATAGGAAAAGTGTATTAACTTTTATTTTGCCATTTCAAGTAATTAAATAGAAATATGTATTCCAGGAAAGGACTTACTAAAATTAGTCAGGGTTGGACTTACCTGATGCATTATTTAATGCACTTAACTCTGACGTCATAGTACAGAGCACACACTAAACCTCTAAAGCACATTAATTAAGTAGATTCAATTCTGTGAAAAAAACTAGATGAACATGTGTTTGCTATCGACACAATTATTAGTTAATAAACAGATTAATTATTATTGTGAGAATTAATTATTGCATCTTTGCGCAGTTTAGTTCAACACAGACAGTAATATTTTCGGAACTGTTGTGGAGTGAAAATAGATTTTGGCATTGCCCAAAACCTATTTTGAATGTTCAATGAACTTTTGTAATTTTTGCATATCAATGGGAAATTTATTGAAAATTTACTTGAGTAGTTTTTACTGTCGGAGATAATAATATAGGTTTATAACAGCAGCAGCAGCACATATTAAAAAAAATATAATTGTTGCATGATTGAGAAAAAATTAAGATTCACTGCAAAATGGAAAAACAGTTACCTACATGGTTGGTTACCAGTGTTACTGATATCTCAGACTTGTGGGAAAACAATTTCAACTGAATATGAACACCCAGACAATAATTATGGAAAAAGCAATTTCGTGCGGGAAAGTATCACTTTGCGCACTTGTTAGGAAAATAACTATTCCGGCCTAGGCCGGGAAAGTGATTCTCGTACTGCTGAATATTTGGAACCAAAAGACAAACATTTAACAGGTATTCAACCGATCGCAGAAAAAATAGTATGTGTATTTCGGTGGAAAAGCATATTCTGGGCCTTCGGTGTTTGCCGGCCTCGGCTACGCCTCGCCCGTCAACTTACACCGTCGTCCGAGACTGTGTCACTTTTCCACCTAAATACACAACATACTATTATTGACTTGAAAACGTGTACGGTTAGGGAGCATTCCAGAACTCTCTAAAAATGATCTTGTAACATTCCCAGGGAACGTTCAGAAAACGTTACATTTGTACATTGGTTATAAATGGCACCCCCCTCTATCTTTTTTATTTGACATTTTAGAAAAAAGTGTCCCAAATAAAAGTTTTATGGTTGAAATTAAATTTTTTGAAAAACTCCCTTTCGTATGTACAGGGTGTTTCAGAAATGCTGGTCGTGCTCCAACTTTCTTATTTTAAATGGAACACCCTGTATATTATTAAATATTCGGATTCTACGTAAAATTCTGTGAAGATTTCATGTAATATAATACCCTATACCTAAGTTCAACTACTAGAGTTTTTCAAAAAATTTAATTTCAACCATAAAACTTTTATTTGGGACACTTTTTTCTAAAATGTCAAATAAAAAAGATAGAGGAGGGTGACATTTATAACCAATAACCCTGTACACCAACTCCTCACAGGGAACGCTTCAGGAACCTTACAGGATGTTCAAAGAACGTCTGGTAAGTCGCATAGGAACGTTCCAAGTACGTTTTTGAAACTAAGCTGTATTTGTGTAAGCTTACAAATTTTGCTGTGGTCTTTCCACAGCTCTAGAAGAATCTAAATCAAAATTAACATTAGTAATGCAAGAATGTAGAATCAAAACTACTAAGTATGGAAATACAAAAAGACTGCATAGATACGGCAGTAGAAATTACAGAGGGCATAAATGGTGAAGTATTTATTGGGGGCAAGACAACTTTTAGCAATGAATTCATTCTTCAGCAATAAACCTCAAAGAAAATGAACTTGGGATAAGTTTGGATGGGAAAATCAAGAACAAGATTGACTATTTCCCATCAACGAACAAATCTTATAATGATAAAATTGTGCACTTAATCAATTTCCCAACTTGTAGCGACCACAGACGCCCAGGAAAATCTAAACGTTAATAGCCAATTGGAAAAAAAAGAAACAATGGAAACTAATCAGAAGCTAGACAAGGGAAAATTCAACCAAGAAAAACATAAGTAAAAGGAGAAAAAAGAATAGGTACCAAGGTTTAGAATCTAAGTAAAACACACAGTAAGACACACACACAAAGCTGGAAAAGAAGTGGCACGAAGAAGTACAAAGAGGAAACGCTATATTCAGGTATCCAGAATCAAAAAACTGAGTAGAAGAAAAACAGTACTAGAGCAAAAGGAAAATATAAAGGAGTGATTAAAATTATTAGGAGAAAAGAAGAATACCTACAGAAAGAGAAAAATAATCATACATATCCCAAAAGAGACCACAAATGCTATGATCAGATGATCTAACGAAAAATGATAATACTCATGTGAAGAAATCAAGGAAGAATTTATTTGCAGAAGTGGATTATACAGGGTGGAAAATTAAAAAAGATCCACCTGGATTTTCTCGAAAATTATCAGGAAATTAAAAAAACGCCGAAACACGTCGATTTTGTTTGCAAGGGGGACACTTTTTGGCTATTTCAAAATTTTCCTAGATTGCATCCCCTTACCGGGGTGAGTTACATTCTCAAAAGTTGAATAGGGAAACTGGGTCGAGTGGTACCTTGTTTAGGAAGTATTTCAGATGACTTTATAGATCTGTAATTTTTTTCGAAATCTGACTTCTAGTTCTCAAGATATTCGCCTCGGAAGTTGCCATGGGGCGAAAAGAGAACGTGTTTTTCGTGAAAAAATGAAAAGTGGGTCATGTTTGAAAGGTTGTTCAAAAGGTTCAAACTAACAAAGAAACAAAGGTTCAAAATGAACAAAATTGACGTGTTTCAGGAATTTCAATTTTTTCTTGTAGAAATGTACGAAAAGCACGTTCTCTTTTCGCCCACTGGCAACTCCCGAGGCGAATATCTTGAAAACTAGTAGTCAGATTTCGAAATAAATTATATATCTGTGAAGTCATCTCAAATACCTCTCAAACAAGGTACCAATCGTCCCAGTTTCCCTATTCAACTTTTGAGGGTGCAACTCACCCCGGTAAGGGGGTGCAATCTAGGAAAATTTTAAAATAGCCAAAAAGTGTCCCCCTTGCAAACAAAATTGACATGTTTCGGCGTTTGTTTAATTTCCTGATAATTTTGGAGAAAATCCTGGTGGATCCTTTTTGATTTTCCACCCTGTATATAGATAGGTAGGAGCTTTCCTATAAGGCCAGAAGTTCTCCTATCAGAAGGATTCAGGGTCCGACTCAATAGGGCCCAATCCAGGGACTGACTCGGAAAACAACTTAGGAATCTTTTCGTGAACCTTCCTAGCTGTAATTAAAAAAAGCTCATAAACTGGAAAAGCAGGCAGAAACTAAAGTAATAATTACACAAACGTTTCCAAAATTTAATTTATCTGGATCACATAATTCTAATAAAAATAGGAACTGTATTAGGTAATATACAAAAGTCATTTCATGTTAGTGCCTTCATATCAGTATTTGGGATCAGTAGAGATACAAGGGCGGCAGCTGAAAAAATAATTTGATTAATGAAAATAGTAAGCCCCATTATAAACCCTTGTACCAATCATAAAGGCACCGACGACAAAAAATGGAGGTTCACAGCCACTTGCCAATAAATAGGGAAACACGAAATTTCCTGCCATAGCTCCTGTCCTACCAATCATCATTCCCACAGCTATAGCCATAGTCCTAAAATAAATTTTCAATAATCAAGAAAAATTCTAGGAGCTTACAGCAAATTACTATTGTTCTACCTTAAAGTTGTCGGGAACAGGTCGACGGTTACAGATACCATAACGTTATTCGCTACAGATCCACATGCAATGAATATTGAAGAAAAAGCTACAGCCAGTTCTTCGGAGCTTGCAAAATACATCGACACACTAAATATGCCTGCAGTAGTAAGAGCAGCCACTAAAAATAATCACCAATTATCAAGTTGCTTGTTATTGTAATGAATCTTACACAAAATCTTCTTTTTGCCTATAAACCTGATAAGAGTGCCAGCTAAAGCATTTCCAATCATTGCAGTACACCCCACTATAATCGAGTTGATATAAACTTTAGAATTGTTGTTATTCTGCAATAAATAATTACTGCAATAAAAATTAAATAGACTATTGATTATTACAACGTACAACGACACATTCTTCGGCTAGAGTTGCATTTGAAGGCTTCAAAGTGCCACTTTCGAGCATGGTACATAAATTTGCCGACTCTTCGTGGACTAGTTGATAGTCGGTGATGATTTGGAAGATTTGAGGGAGCCATAAACGTAACATGTTTTGACTTGAACAAAAAAAATATAGACTGAGAAGTTTTTGATTATTTTACTTGCCTCATGACAATAAACAACATCATGGCGCATGTCAGCGATATTTTAGATAGATGAGGCTTGAAAAATATTGGCTTGATTTGCTGGAAGCCTTCTCTAAGGGCTTGGCCTTTCGATCTGTGGGCTGTCACATGACTACCGTCCATGCTGACTTTTGTTTCGTCTAATAGACTTTTAATCTAGAAAGAATGCAAGTAAGTATAGAAATATATTTTATTCAATTTCATACTGGATAAGATTCTGGAGGATTTCCCGTATTGACGCTATAAACTTTCCTGAAAATTTCCAAAGCTTTTTCGTTTTCACCGCAAGTCATCAAAAATTTGGGACTTTCCGGGCAAAATGTGAACACAATTCCACTGAGAAATGCAGGAAGACCAGTTATCAGCAAAAATACGCTCCAGGAATGGAAATCTGGAAGAAACGGTCACCACTAAAAGCAAAAATATTGAAAAAAGACTTACTCAAATTAATCAAAGTAAAATCTAAAGGTTGAGGCAATACCAACCAAGCTAAGCAAGGCAGCAACACTTGGCCTAAGCTTATAGAAGTGCCAATAATCATTTGGAAAATAGGTCTGTACTTGGCACAATGGAATTCCGATATGTAGGAACTTAGAGCGGCAAATGGACCATTAATTCTACAATAATATGAGTGTAGCATTTATATTATTTATCCAAAGATTTCTTACATTAATCCTTGCAGGTACTTTGTTATCAATAAAAGAAGCAAGCTTTGGGAAAAAGCGCTGGTAAACACAAAAACTGCATCTACTAAAAATCCTAGAATTAATAGTTGTTTCCTTCCTAGAACATCGAAAAGGAAACCCCACAGCATGGCACTCGTGATCATTCCTAGAAAAATACAAATAGTATTTTCTAAAAAAACCTGTCAGAGAAAATCGTAAACCTCTGAACAAAAATCGAGACACCATGTATAAAATCAACTCGAATTCATTTGAATCTCACTCCTATTAGCTCTTTCTTACCTGCGTAAGTAACAGCATTCAACAACCCTTTATCACTCAAAGACAGTTCTAGATCACACTGAGCAGCCACAAAAGTATATGACATTGTAGAAGTGTCCAATACGGCACCAAAACTGGCCAACATCACCAAAATGGCCAACATAACGTTGTATTTGCCAAATTCCGTAGCTGTGATGGCTTCTTCGAATGTTGCAGGAACATGAGTGACTTAACATCTAATTAGTAATAATAATATTTCAATATCCAGGTTCTTACATTGTTTTGAAGTTCTTTTGAAAGCTGCACTAGCTTTTCTACTATCAATAAAATCGATTTCACTCTCCATTTTTTTTGCTTTAGGTACACCAATACACGTTTTCAAATGAAAACTGTTCTAAATATTTGAATATATTTTGATTAAAGTTACTGGAATGTTGACTTAGTTTATACAATGAAAATAATTGTGTAAATATTGAAAATTGATTTAAGACACAAACACGTTTTTATTTTGCAACTTAATTTCTGCAACATGATTTTTGAAAATTGACCCTCTAGTTAGAGCTACTAAATAATATAACCATTAGAAACTGATCAATTCAAATGACGTCACAATTGGTCAATGGATTAATGTCGTAACATTACAAATTACGCTGAAATTATTCTAGTTACATAATTATTCTTATCTGGACAAGTTGAATTCCATTGTGTAAATTTTTCATTGATAATGACGTCAAGATAATAGTTTGCATTTTTACGTCATGATTATCTGCGTGAAAGTTCAAAGAATTAATTTGAAAAAAGCTTTCTATATATAAAAAAAAAAATTGTTCTTTTCTGGGGGATCAAACACTATGGAGATTTTTGGTTAATTCTGTCCAGAATCCTGGTGGCGTTTTGATACTTAAACCTTCTACTAGGTAGGTAGGTACTTAAAAAGCTTCAAATTTCAGAATACTTTAGTGTATTGAGGAAAACCACCTATTTAGAATATTATTTCTTTGAATCTTAACTTTTTAAAAAAATGTTTACTGAATAAAATTAAATGTTGCAACCATGTAAAGCGCTGTAAAGTTTATGGGAACGGGACGCGCCGCAACGAAAAGCGTACCGAAAGGGTAGGTAGAAGAGAATGGGAAAATACGTTGAGATCAGAATATAAGACATACGTATTTGTTAGGTACTCATGGCCGTTTCCACCAACTATTTTAGGGGAACCTTAACGATAAGTATTCCCTAAAATGATATTTTTACATGGAAAAATGTCAGTTTAAGAAATACTTATGGCTAAGGCTCCCCTAAAATAGTTGGTGGAAACGGCCATCAGTGACCTTGTTACAGAATATATCCTTTTTCTTCTTTTTTCTATTACACGGGTATTGCACAGGGACTTTCAAATTGTTGTATTTCTATTTGTTATTTTCTTTTCTTTTTTTTTCACTTTTTGTTTATATTCAAAGGAGACTTTTGGATTGATATAGTAAATCCGTTATTTTCTTTCCTTTCTTATAAATTTTTGTTTATAATCAGATCTTTGGCTGTAAGGGTGGAAAATGGTTAAGTGGAAGAGTAACCCAAGGTTAAACTTCGCCATTCCTCCTCTCTGTATGGTGCGTATGTACCATCGTCACCAAAAGTAACTGGGACAGCATCACATTAGCTCTTGTCCTATTACATAAATTTTGTTGTCAAATATTTGTCAAACTAATGAATTAAATGCATTGAAATAAATGACAGTAGAATTAGTCTAGGAGATTATTATGCATTATTTGTGTCCCAGATACTTTTGGTGACGATGGTACGTGTACTTTTTATATGTATGTATTGTTAAATACCCTCGGTTCGGACAAAAGAAACAGATTACTTTCGAAAGCCAAAAAATATATTCCAAAATTATATTCAACCGCCTCGACACAAACCTCAAACTTAACTGTCTTTTCTTACAAAACATCCTCGTCCTTCTACAACGGAACGGAAAAATACCAAGGGACCGTTTTATGATACCATGTCATAAAACCGTCCCTTCTCGGTACCGCAACTGGAATTCCGTATACTTAACTCTTCGTGGGAAAAATCAATATTTATCATAATCTTATGCTGTATAGGAAAAATACAATAAAATGGTATTATTTCTTTAGGTTCGGTTTACAGTATGTATTTCAATTAATACAGACTTTTATTATTATTATTATTATTATTAACTAGATGGTAGACTAGAGAAGAAGCTATGGGATGGTCCCTTAAGACGCTTGTCTGCCATTGTTCATTATTCAATTTTTATTTCTATTTTGTATTAAACTCATTGTTCAATCCAATTTGTGATTAGTTTGTGTGTCAAAAGGAACATTCACACGTCAGTTGAATAATTGTTAGTGTATTTTTTTTTTTAAAGATAATTCCCCAAGTCAAAAATTTAGTAACTATGTTGGCAACACAAGCCTTTCCTACATAAAAAATTTGAAAGCATTGACAATTTTACATTGTATTGTCAACATAATGTCATTTTGACTTTTATCTTTAAAAAGAAAACAGACTTTATTTTGTTTTTGAGAGTTCAATTTATACAAGTACTAAAGTCTGTTTTTTTTTTAAAGATAATTCCCCAAGTCAAAAATTTAGTAACTATGTTGGCAGCACAAGCCTTTACTATACATAAAAAATTTCATAGCATTGACAATTTTACATTGTATTGCCAACACAATGTCATTTTGACTTTTATCTTTAAAAAAAAACAGATTTTAGCTGACCCGGCGAACTTCGTACCGCCTCTGAATTATTAAATATTTATTAAATGTTGTGTTAACGTATCTATTAGCTGAATTAAATTCGGTTTTTTTCGATGGTGAATTTGGCTTTGGTTGAAGAAAATTAATGTTTACTCTCTGGATCAGAAGTCACCTACAATTAAATTTTTTCGTCATCCCTTTTTAGGCAGCTTGTGGGCATTATTCTTGTAAAGTGTACTACTAAATAAATAAACTCAGGCACAGGAATGTTCAAAGAAAGTAGAGAGAACAAAAAAATCTGCAGCGCAGCCTTGTTTCACTCTATCTGCACTGCATGCACTGCCCTACTCCATCTGTTCTACTCTATCTACACTACTCTATCTGATCTACTCTTTCTGTACCACTCTATCTGATCGGGATAGTGGAATAGTTCTGTTCGGAATAGTTCCAGTTCCTGAGCAGCATTGTTCTACTGTATCTGCAATGAAATTACCGCGCAACGGCGAGCTTCGTTCTAGGTATCAGAGATGGCGCCGTATACAAAATGGTTTGCAATGAAAATGTGGCGGTAAAGTTGGTATCGGTTATAAGAGATGGCGCCGTATGCGGGCTTAGTAATTTTTTTTCATAAATAAGTAAAATTACTAATTTTGTTTTTTGTTTTTTTTTTTGGATTTTTTTTTTTTTTGATTTATTATGTTATACGGGACAAAGACAAATCCAATAAAGCAAAAATCATCAAAATCAGTCCAGCCGTTCTCGAGTTATAAGAAGTGGAACCAACCCAACTGTGTTTTATATATATATAGATTACCCTGTACATAGTGGAACTAAGAACATTTTTGATGTGACATTGTGACATTGAGTGGCTCTGTAATTTTTGTCTCTGACTAATCAAGAGCCTGGACTTATATAGTAAGAGACAGCGATATAGAAAATTGTATGAGTGAGAAAGAGATGGAGATAAAGTAGGATAAAAATAAACGTGAAACTAGTTTTTGGGTATTACTGGCGCTCCAGTGGACATAGGAAACACAATAAGTAAGCAAGAGACCGATATAAAGTAGGATAAAAAATTTGTAACAGGAATTTTGATTATTCTCGTCGCTTGAGCGGCCTTGTAATTTTTGGGTCTGACCAATCAAGAGCCCGGCATAATAAGAAAAAGACAATGATATATGAGATTTGATGGCAAAGAGCGAGATGGAGGCATAATAAAATGAACATCTCTATCGACACATATTTTCATTATTCCTGGCGCTTGAGTGACCTCATAATTTCTATGTCTAACCAATCAAGAGCCTGGAATAATAAAGTAGGAAATTGCGATATATATAGAAAATGAAATTAGTGGGAAAGAGACGGAGATGAAGTGGGAATAAAATAAACGTGAAACTAAATGATGTTTGGGTATTCTCCGCGCTCGACTTTTGAGTGACTCAATCATGGGCTTGAAATAAGAGAGTGAGAGACGACTTAGGAAACCCAATAAGTGAGAAAGAGACGCAGAGAAAGTAGGAAATTTTCGATTTTTCTCGGCGCTTGAGTGTCTTTGTGATTTTTGTGCCTGATCAATCAAAAGCCTGGAATGATAAGAGAAAGACATGAAATTCAATAAAAAAAAACAGAGATAATGACATAATAGAATGATGCTTATTTATCTGTCAATCAAGTGCTGGAAAAATAAAGCAAGAGACAACGATTTAGAAAACTAAACGAGTGAGAAAGAAACAGAGATAAAATAATATCTCCATTTTGTTTTAATTGCTTAAGATAGAAGAGGACATTGATATTTTTCAAATTATTTTTATAAAATTCTAACCATTTTACATACCGCGTATTCGGATGTATTTAAAAAATTTGCAAAAACGCACCTTAAAAAAATTTTAGTATCTTAACTGTCAAATCATTAGCGCAATTCAGGGGCGCCGGATTTTAGAAAACCTCGTGGGTGCTGATGCTCATACACCGACATTTGTGGAGGGGGTGGGGGGGACGGGGTGGATTTTTTTTTTCGGATGCCACTCCCAAAAACGTTTATATAAGGCTATGCTTCGAATATAACCAAACGTTAACCATTAGCTCTGTTCCAACAGAGATGAGAACCGTTCCAGAATAAATAAATAAGAGGATTTCAAGCGTTTGACCGGTCGGTTACACTGGACAGATGAACAATGAAGTAAACGTCATTTGTCAACCAATTGGTCTTAAATGACGTAAAATATATTGTTCACCTGTCAAACTTACCGACTGGTCAATCGCTCAAAAATCCCCAAAGCTGAAGTAACTGAATGGGTTGAAAATTGGTTACTGAAAATTCTTGGTACTTGGGGAAAGCAAATATAAAATAAAAAATAATTGACAGAAATTACAGATAAAACCAACAGAACCGACATCCGATGGCCGGTAAATATTTTGACATTTTGTTAACCAGATTTCAGGACACCGAGGTTCAAAAGTAACCACTTTTTCAGGAACCAGAGTAATTTTATTACTTTTATGACCGGGAAACCACAACCCTGGGTATATGCGGAACACAGCCTTAGTATCCTCTTGAATAAAATCTATTTTTTTTATTGAAGATAATTCAATTCCAATTTCAAGCGATTGGCCAGTCGGTAATCTTGACAGATAAGCAATGCATTTGAC